AAACTATAGTCCGCCCCTCCAACGGTCTGAGGGACAGTGAACTGGCCCCCTGTTTTAAGAGTTTGAGGACCTCTGTTAAGAATAATTTGAAGTCAGACAATGTGATGCCTTCATATATGTTCTTTTTATTTAGATTTGCTTTGGTTATTTGGGCTCTTTTTTTGGTTCTATATAAACTTTAGGATTTTTAAATTTTTTTTAAGTTCTGTGAAAAATGATGTTGGTATTTTGATAGCATTGTGTTGACTCTATTGATTGCATTTGACAGTATGGCCATTTTAACAATATCGGTTCTTCTGATCTGTGAGTATAGAGCATTCTTCCGTTTGTTTGTATCATCTATGATTTGTTTCATCGGTGTTTTGTAGTTCTTGTAGAGATCTTTTACCTCTTTGAGTAAATATATTCCTAGGTTTTTGTTTTTTGTGGCTATTGTAAATGGGATTGAGTTTTTTATTTGGTTCTTGGCTTGAGCATTATTGGTTTATAGAAATGCTGATTTTGTACATTGATTTTTGTGTCTTGAGACTTTACTGAAGTCGTTTATCAGATCTTGGAAAACTTTTTAGGGTTCTCTAGGTATACAGTCATGTTATTGGTGAACAGAGATAACTTGACTGCTTCCTTGCCATTTAGGATGCCTTTTATTTATTTTTCATTCCTGATTGCTCTCGCTAGGACTTCAAGTAATATGTTGAATAGAAGTGGTAGATAATTCTTATAAGTGACTACTAACTAGTTTGAGCTTTAAATTATTTCTTTTAAAAGGGGTAAAATAAATTAACCCCTTTAAAAAATAACTGTCTCTACATTATACTGAAGGTTAGAATTAGGCAATATGTGTATTAACCAAGGAATTTTTTACTGTGGAAATTAGCTACAGTTGTTAAGTATGGACCTAAAAATATAAGGTATGATGTTCTTTCTGAAAGCTATCTTGAAGAAACACCTCTATAATATATACCAATCACATTTAACCTTGGTTCAAGACTTAGACATCACATAAAGAAAATTAATATAAAATTATCTTAGAATATTCTTTAGTTTTTCTAAAGGACTAGGTATTAATGAGGTACAAATCGAACATTAAATGAAAACTCTTCTCTGTGATTTATTTCAAAGCTCCTGCTGAATTTACATAAGAAAGAAATGTAATGAATCAATACTTAATTTGGGGTAGACTCTGTTTTGGGATTAACTTGTTTAACACTGACATATTACCCTGAAAAGAACTGACATTCTCAAAAATGAATATCATTTCAGTGGTCCTGGTGAGGTTTAATTAGTGAATGGTCTCTTGGATGTTAAAACAAACTTTTTTTTTTTTTTGAGTTGGAGTCTCACTCTGTTGCCCAGACTGGAGTGCAGTGGCTGCTCCCGGCCACCGCATCCTCGACCTGCTGGGCTCTGGCGATCCTTCCACCTCAGCCTTCCGAGGAGCCGGAATTACAGGCATGCGCTACCACGCCCGGCTGATTTTTGATTTATTGTAGAGATGAGGTCTCGCCAAGTTGCCCAGGCGGGTCTCCAACCCGCAGACTCAGGAAATCCACTCATCTCAGCCTCCCAAGGCGCGAGATTACAGGCTGAGCCACCAAGCCTGGCTAAAACAAACTTTAAAATTAGCTGGGTGTGGTGGCATGCACCTGTGGTTCTAACTACTTGGAAGGCTGAGGCAGAAGGATCACCTGAACCCAGCAGGTTGAGGCTGCGGTGGCCA